AACTCCATTTTCTCGCGACTCAATTAGCGGTGCATTCTAACCTCGATATATATTGAATTCTTTTTCTTTGAAAATTTCTGAAATCTTTCACCACCTTTAGAGCCTAAATCGAAGCAATTTTCAAACCCAATCGACGCCCTTTACCTGGCAGTTTTGATAGTGGACGCACACTAAGGTACTGCTGCAAGGCCATCACCAGATTCATTCCTTACATAAAGCGAAGTAGTCATAGATATATTTGTATAAGGTTTGTCTCGGAACAGTTCTCAGGCGTCTTGACTGTTCCAGCTTTAAAGCTAAGTTCATAACTTCCTTCTGATACTTATCGAATTAATATCGAAATAAGCACCGTTCAAATCAGCACACTTTTAAGAATAAGACAGTAGTACACGAATCCTATCCAAGAAAAACTGGGTGGTCGAGAATCCACGAAATCCACGAAGCTTTTTTGCCTGGTCCTGATTGAAAGTATTTTCCAGCAAGGAAGTTCTGAAAATGTTTGAAAAGGTGATAGTCGGTTGGTGAAAGGTCTGGAGAATATGGCGGGTGAGGTAGAACTTCAACCCCAATTCGTTCAATTTATGGATAGTGATTTGTGAAACGTGTGGGCGGGCGTTGTCATGCAAAAGAATCGGACCCTTTCTGTTGACAAGTGCTGGCTGCAGCTGACGCAATTTTCGGTACATTTCGTCGATTCACAGTAGGACTCTGCTGTGATGGTTTGGCCTGGTGACAAAAAGTTATAGTGGATCACACCAGCCGATGACCACCACACTGTGACCATAATCTTTTTTTCGTGAGGATTCGGCTTTGGAAATTGCCTCGGTGGTTCGTCGGCATCCAACCACTGTCCGGAACGTCTCCTGTTATCATACATGATCCACTTTTCATCACAGGTGACAATTCGGTCCAAAAACGGGTCGTTTCTGTTGCGCAAAAGCAGTGAAGAAGAAACCTCGAGACGTGCCAATTTCTGCCGGTCACTCAAATTGTGGGGCACCCACTTGTCGAGTTTTTTCACCTTCCCAATGCGTTTCAGACCATCCGCAACAGTGGATTTGCCAACGCCTAGCTTTTCTGCAATCTCTCGAACTGTTTGGGATGGGTCAGCCTCCACAAACGCCTTCAAATCCTCGTCAGGTATTGCTTTAGGTCGACCGCTACGAGGTTCATCTTCAAGGCTGAAATCTCCAGAACGAAATTTGTGCTTTCTCCAACACTATTGGGCCCCCACACCTGGTTAATTTGTCGAGCTGTCTCGACTGCGGATTGACCCAATTTGTAGTTGAAGAAAAATATCGTCCGAAGTTGCTCTTTTGACATGCTTCAAAAAGTCTTGGGAAAAGGGGGTTTATCAAGCAATGGTGAAACGGCAATTATACCATCAGATAGCGCAAAAATTCTCTTCAGGATGTACTACTGAGACGCAAGGGAGAATGAGTTTAATCAGCAATGAATGTACAAAAAATAGTAACACAAAACGCTGAGAACTTTCCGGACAACCTAATAACATTGCAATTTGTCGGGGGCGGCGAGCGCAGCGCGGCACCTGGCGTCCGGCTACCTTGCTCTACCAATGGTGATCGAGCAATGATCGATGTAGGAAGAGACCAGTCACTGGTGGGAAGGTGGGAACCGCTGATTGCAACCCGACAGGTGGCGGTGATATCAACTGTATGCATCTGCACACTGGACAAAAGCTCCGCCATCTGGCCACGCCCTTTTTGTGTCTTTTCGCGGAGGGTTAATCCTTCCTTCGAAATTGCTCTTTTCCAAGCTGTAAAAAGTGGCCCCGCCCCTTACTGGAAGCTGCGCCTACTCCGCAGAAGCTACGCACACTTTTTAAAATGATCCAGATCGGCAGGAGTGGCCGGCAGGCTATTGCCTCGTTCAAAACTCGGAACTAACTTTCCCTGGTTTTCGCTTTTCGTATCTTTGAGCACCTTCGTTTTGTGAAGGATGAATGTGAAAAGAGCTGCGTTGAGAAAAGTTACGAATGATCTATTAGGTTGTCCGGAAAAGGAATGCGCGTTGAATTTTTTGAACTTGTCCATTTTTTTCTCTCCTACTATAGAAGATTTTTGGAGACAGTTTTGTCTATTAGAAAGAGATTTTTATTGTGCTTCTTTTGATATATTTTTGTCCATGTCTACTTTGCTTTTTTTGGGGAAAAAAAGTTGGGAAGAGCGGGTGCCGCACCAGCTGAGCGACGCAAACAAGGCAACACGAGTGGCAATGGCCGGAATTCTTCTTCGTCGCTCCAAGAACAGCGGTTTTTTCGACTCTATTATTACATCAAATGAGAAAAGGGTCTGCTTCGATAACGCGCATCGAAAAGGGACAGTGGTTAGACCTCCAGTGCCCTCCAAAACGGATCCGAAAAACCTGAATATAGCGCGAGCAAAAAGGTGATTGCTCCGTGTTTGGTGAATAGGCAACGGGTTTGAGTTGTAACTTTGAAGGTTCGCGGAAATCGGGTCAGACGGTTTACGGCGACATCTGGCAATACACAATTGGAACGCGCATGGAATCCAGCATGCGTCTTCAAAAGTGTCGAAACGCCGACGTTCGACAACAATTTTGAATCCACGCCAAACGCTCATCCCACATGCTGGCGACAAATCACTCTAGAAAAAAAAAATTGAGGAATTTTTTTCTGGGGCTGGAAAGTGCCTCTTGCTATCCCCAATGCATGGATCAGACCATGGCACCATCTGATTACCATCTGTTTCGCGGTCGCAACTGGCAGAACTCGCTGGCTGAGAAGAAAATTTCACAAACCGCGAAAAAGGTCCAACTCTGGGTGTCCAACTTCTTTGAGTCGCAGCCGGTCGAGTTCTTCAGAAGAGGAATCCATTTTTTGCATAAATGTTGACAACAAGTCATTGATACTAATGGAGATTGTCTTTTGAATTTATCTTGTTTAATTTCGTTTTTATAATAAAAAATTTTTTAAGCTCGAACGCGCATTCCTTTCCGGACAACCAATTCCCTTTCCGGACAACCTAATAGAATCGCAATAACGTCATTGAACACTGGGCAGAGTCGTATCCGTGTCGGTACCAATCCTTTTTAGTTGGAGTTCATGAACAAGGTAGCAGTAATGCAAAAAAGTAAAAGGAACACAATTCATAGAACGAGTTCATACAACCACGACCGCGCTGAGAAGTGGGCGGGGAGTTGGGGTGGGGCTCGCAGCAGTACCTACTGTGGTCTGGTTGTCAATTGCCCAGTGCAAGATTCAGGGGGATTGATTCAAGAAGTGTCCGATTCGGTTTGAAAACTGTCCGACTCTGATTCAAAGGTGTTTAATGAAATGAAAATGGTATATAACTTGAGTAATACTTGTGGTTTCTGTGTACAGTTGAGAACGCCGAAATCAGTCGGGGAGGTTCCATGAGGGATGGGATGAGCCCAACCCAGGGCACGCGATCGCGGTGTGATAAATTTTTGCTAAATTAGACCCACCTCCCAAAAAGGGTCTCGATAAGATCCTTCTTCCCTGTCTGCTGCTGATCTGGAAGCAGCGACCAAATTAGCAGCAGGACAAACAAACACCAAAAAAATGGAAGATCTGCGAAAATAAACGACAAAAAAGCCCGTTGTGATCCCGTCGTCACATTTTAGGGTCACCTACGAGCTCTTACGCCTAAGATAGCTATAACACTCTTCGTACAAGGCCATTCGTAAACGGAAGGCAGCGCCGGAAGTTCGAAGATTTCCACTTTCTAACAAGACTTTGACTCCTAGACCTGTATTCGAAAAAAGCCCCGTTTTGATGTTTTTGATGCATCTTGACGACATGAGATACCTTACCTCTCCACGGCAATTCCACTTCCAATTCGTTTGATTTGGCTTTGGCATGCTTCTAAAACACATGTTTTCGCGAGGCTATCAGAAAATATTAGGTTGATCGGAAAGGAATGCGCGTTGACTTTGTCTATTTATTTCTCTTCTACTATAGGATTCGCCGGGTCATTAGAGAGAAGTTTTTTATTGACCGCATTCTATTTGATATATTTTTTCTATGTCTACCTTGTTCTTTTTAAAAAAAAAAGTTTAGAAAATGCTCGACCAAAAACTTCGAATGCGAGCTTGTATGTGGTAAGACTTCAAGTAAGTCCTAACGACGCACTGGGTGACTAATGACCATTCGCGCTCCACAGGGCAGCAGGGCGGCAACCATACCAGCCGACCACACTCGGCGAGAAAACTGGCAAAAAGAGGCTCTTTTGACCTACATTTCCTCTCCGGCGGACCTAACGACACACCCGAGGGGAAAAGTAGTGAAAGAGGCTCTTTTGGCGAAGTTTTTGCGTACAGTTGGCAACAAGTCATTGCTAGTAATGGAGAAGAGACGAGATTATTGTTTCAGAATATTGGACGTTGTTTAATTTCCGCGTTTTTGATAATGGAAATTTTTTTACACTCAAACTTCTTACACTCAAAGGTTGTGGCCTTCGAACAACCTAATAGTTCCGATCGGCCGCCGATTTGCATAGACCTCTGTAATTGCGCCATGCATAGGCTCTCATTTTTGTTGAAAAGTATGACAACTTACTAGATAGGGCTTCCTCCGGGCAAGCAGTTCATCTGTTTATTAATTCATGACATCGTTGTGGGCGGCCATCTATTTCCTGTCATCGCCCGTTCCCCACTTCCGCGCGGGCACAGGTCAGGTGTTGCTTGTGTCTTGTGTGGGTCTCTTCAGGGGTTCTTCACATGGATAGGTCTATCATCATTGAAGCTGTACGGCATCTGTGTATCGCTGCATTCCCCACTTCAAGCAGGGCCTTGCGTTACAACACCCCACCCCCCCGCGATTCTCTCAGCAATGGCGCCGCGCCGTGACCCAACCGCGACTTTCCCACCACTGGTTATTTTCTTCCCCGAACGATCACTAGCCTATCACCATTGGCGAACAAACGCAAGCAGCAGGCGCAAGCCGGGAGCGGTCTTTCCCGCCTCTCTCGCTAATGATGATGGACCTGTTTCCGAATTCATCGCCTGAAACTATGGCAAGATTCAAGTTAAAGTGAAAGATATGGGTCGCATGCCACAACTCACGAAACAGCGCTCGAATTTGTAGAAGTAAAAATAGTTGGGAGATTTGTAAGTTTAAGATTTTCTGTCTCATTCTATTGTTACTTATTTCTCATGGTGCAACTTACCCCAACCTTAGCGTGGAAAACGAAAGCCATAATAATCCCAAAAATAGCAACAGCTTCACAAAATATTGCACTAGAAAACGACCAGCGTTCTGGTTCGTTTATCTGGGAGCCTTCACTCCCAACACCAAAAATGACGTTCACCAGTCGTGAAATTCCCCTTGAAAATTCTATCTCCGTTTTTGAAAACACTCGCAGAAATCAGTAAAGAGGAAACTGTATATTCACTTCCGAGGGCAAGGTTCAATGCGTGACTTGCTGCCTGGGTGAATGATCCGCAGCTGAAGGGTAGCGACGCCACTATCTCCTCTCATTGGCCTCATGGGAGATAGCAGCTAGCAGGGTAACTGCGATGTGCGTCTCCCGACACCGCGCAAGCTCATCCTCAAGGGGGGTCGTATGGCAGCGCTTGCAGTCGATATCAGGCCAGCATGCCGCCAGCCGAACATGCAGTCAGAGCAAAGAAAGAACCACAAGTAAGTGGGCGAAGACAACAAATACGGTTATGGTCAAGCGGAGGTGATATACTGGCAAGTGGTGCGCTTACCACTGCGCTTACCGCTCGCGTGGTTCCTGGGTTCAAGTCCCGCGTCGACTCGCGCCCAAGCCAACGAAGCCTTCTACCCTCTGGGACGGTAAACTGGCCGGCGTACCCAGCATTCGCTCTGAGGAGCGATAAGAAGCGACTTCAAGTTTTACGATCAGCTGGCGTCCGCAAGTCTTAAAAGCCACATTACACACAGAAATCGAGTGCAGTCCTCAGCGGATCATTCTCACTGACCGAAAAGTACCCATCCTGTTCGCCTCTCTTGCGTTGCTCTTTTTCATTTCGCTGATCTCTGTGCTCTCTCACCCCTTTGGCGTCTGATCCCTCATTCGCGGCCTCCCCCCGTGTCTATGGCTCGTTGCCATTGTCCAATCAAAGCATCAATTGCGTTCTGTTTCTCTCCATTGCTTTCTTCGTTCAACCGCACGAGCAGTACTAACGCCTAAGAATTTTATATCTTTGATATTTTTTCAAATGTTCTATTGCACTCCTCAAAGTTCTTCCTTTTGATCTGCTGCGTCCCGCGCTGATGTGTTAGGCTAGACTTATGAGATTATCATGTCGCGACATCATCCAACGGAGCGTGTTACGTCAGCAGACCTTATTACCGTGACTTGAACACTGTCTTGGATGGGCGTGCAAAGTATGGCGTAACCTAATGCTGGTATGTGACAAGACAATCGTGTTATGTCGCGCTGGTGGGCGTGGCGACCGGGGAAAAGAGTTATCCTGCCTGGACGATTGAATCTCTGCCTGAGCTTCATGAGGGAAAAGTTCGATATTGCTCGCTGTGAAGTCCCGTTCACGCTTGAATTCGTAGATGTTGCGCTGCTTCAATGGGCAAATTGACGCATATCGAGAATTTGTCGCGCATCGCCACACGACACGCCGCGAGCTACGACGCGACAAATCACGATTGTCTTGTCCGTTTCCTACTCATTTGTTGTCCTTATGTGAGCAGCTTTAAAATACAAAAGTGTCCAAACACAATGCTTACCATCCGGCTCCGAGCACAGATAACGAAAGAGAGTATCCTATTCCCAAGCCAGCCCACATATTTGGCGAAGTTTCGGTTAGGAACCATCCAATATCAAATCTATGGCTCTGACCAGTCAGCATGTAGTACATTCCTAAATGTTGAATGCTTCAGAGTGTCCCAGAACTGCTTTAAAGAGTCCTATGGCGCATCTAATGTGAGGTTACTACTGAGTTAAAGGCACACTCCGCGATTACCTAACCAGGGAAGTCCGCCAACTTACCATGGAACTTTGAATGGAGACCTGGGTAGATCGATAGAGTCTATAAGGTTATTTACAAATATAGATAGCAAAACTGCAACCTGCATTTCACAAGCAACTTATGAGCAGGTAAAGTTTGTAATGGTGCAGTAGGGTGGAGGCTTGGTGGTGAGCTGTGAAGCATAAGCGAGGAATCGCATACGTCAATCGAGTCGTCGAACCTTAACACTGAACACCACCCTACTGCACCATTACAAACTTTACCTGCTCACGAGTTCAAAGTTTCCATTCAAAGTTGCATAGTAAGTTGGAGGACTTCCCTGGTAAGAGGTGAGAGCCCTTCCGTGCGGAAACAGCGCAGTTCCGCAGCAGGGCCAACCACTGTCTGGTCCAGACGCCTCCTCACCCACCCTAATTGGCAGGACATAGGTCTTGTTTAACTTTGGAGTTACCGCAAGCGATCTTCGCAAAGCAATGGTTTGACTTTGTGATCACGGGGGAGAGCCCAACCAAACTACACTAAGGAAACCGCGTAGCTTACATCAAGCCTTAGCCCAGAAAAGCGGGAATTTTTTGCGATTGGGAGTTTTTTTTGTCCTTTCAATGACTTTCCACGTACCGACTTCCACTGAGAATCTTAGTGCATTCATTAGCTACACCACGGCGGACCTATTCATAGGGACTCATAGAAACTTCCGCCAACTCTCTAGACACTCCTACGCGTTTCTTGTGGTGCTTAGATACCCATGGCTTTGGTTCGCTTTCATTTGCAATATAGTCTGGTCCACGGCCGATGAAAGAGCGTGTCCGGCGGGATGGGTTTGGCGCGGTGTCAAACCAATTCTTAACGTTGCCGAAGTGGGTGAGCGACGACAATAAGTGGTGGAAAATGTCCGGTATAAACGATATGATACAGCCTCGTCGCTTGCTTTCTTCAACAACTGGTGAAGAACGAGATCGATACCCCTCTTCATCCGCCGCAAACTAGGTTGCATAGGAATTTTCCATCAGTTCCACTGCCACCATTTTTGGCTGAGGCAAATCGCTTCACGGCTACATATGAAGGCGATGTAAGTCTTCCGCACCCATTACCTCTGCTCTGTTCATTGTTGACAACTGTACTTACCATCTTCTGCCCCTCGTATCAAATCGCATTCGACCCCAGCCCCACGTCGTGGATTCCGGACACATGCTTGAACCTGTACTGCAGAAGCTCAGAATGTACCCCTTTCACCATGCAGTAATATAGGAGGGGAACTAGCGGGCTTGCGATAGTCAGAAACCCCGTTCCTACCATATTTAAATTTGCATAAGGGGACAAACGGGCATGACAACCATAATTTGCCGTGCCATCGCGCGCCTGCGGATGAAGGGGCATGTCAGGAGTATGACTGTTCCACGGCGCCAAACCCGTTCTCTGCCATTTGCTGAAGCGTGTACAACAACTGGTAGTAAAATAGAGATATAGTGCAGTTCGCTGCGGACGGTTGGGCGTGTCAGTGCGGCTGCGTTTGGCGCGGTGCCAAACTCGTTCTCCACCAGTTGTTGAAGCGGGCAAGTGACAATACTGTATCATATCCTTCGTATTACTCGTTTTCTACCACTTTTTGTCGCATGCGCGCTTCAACAAGAAGGCAGAGAACGGGGTGACACACTCATACTGGCCGACACGCCCAACCGTCCGGAGCTAACTAGAGTGTACGAACGATATGATACGGTCTCTTCACTTACTCGCTTCGACAACTGATGAAGAATGGGTTTAGCACCTTGCCAAACTCATCTCGTCTAACACGCCCACTTTTACCGCAGCGAAATGGGCTATCCATCTTCCACCCTTGCAGGCAGGACCACCATGTCCGAGGAAAGCGCCTAATATAGATGAACGCGGGGCGTGCCTTCGAGGAAATCGCTCAAAATGATCTCACCAACACCGACGATAATGCTTGCAGAAATGATAGTGACAACTCCTGTTGTCTTCAGAATTGGTCCAGCAGTCATACTAAAGTAAAATGTTCGTTTGAAAAAATAAAAGAAGGCAATGAACGTGGGAACGAATAACCCAATGATGACGAGAACAATGAATTTAGGCTCATCCCTGTGAAAAAAGCTTTCTACCTGAAGAATATTCAACTATTGACTATTAACTATTCAATAAATCAGTTAGTTGAAGCAACTCATAAAGCTAAAGTGATAAATGCAAGATTAGTTCATTCTAGCACTGGGAAATAAAGCGACGCGAGTGGACGTTGGGAGACGTGGGATCGGACCGCATGTGAAACGCGCGCGTCAGGTTGGTACCTGTTACTACTTGTCTACACTTGTTAAGTGTCGTTCGATTGACCATAAGGAGTGCAGTCAAGATGCTCGTCCAATGGCCGCATTAATGGATTAGGCGTTAAATCATGTGGCGTTGGTTTCCAGTCGCGGCATTTCAGTACGAGTTCACTTGACAAAAGCGTAGCGTTTTGCCATGTTGAGTGACTAGGGTTCTGCTGCGAATGCTGCCTGCGTCCAACCGCTTGCAACACCTATATCACCGCGACTGGAAAAAAACGACCCACTCCCGTTACATCGTGCTCATAGGTGTATAGTCGCTTCAGGTATTGTGTAGTATTGACTTACTTGTATTGGAAAGACGAAGCGATTTCAATGGGAGATGCATCTCGCCATCCGCGGATTTGCATGCTTCCTTCTCGTTCATAGTAAGCCAGCGGTTATGGCACTTCTTTTCGACAAAAAGGGACGCAAAAGAAAGTCTTTTTGTGAGCGTTTTCGTTGAATCCATTAGGTCCTGCCTCGTGTGCACGTATGTGTTTTGCTTGCAGCGTCTATTTCGCCATCCTCACTGCAACGTACAACTCTTCACTTTGACATAAATATAAAGTACCTTGATATTGTGAAAATCATATTTTCCAGGAGAACTTCCACTCCGATGCTCCTGGAGCTTGAATACGATCAAACTTATTTCTGTGGTCCATGAATGTCTTTCATGTTAGAGTGGAAGGCTGGTTCACCGATTTAGGAGGATAAGCCACCCAAGAATGGAGCCGACGAGATAGAAGGAAGATGAAGTAATCTAGATGATAGATATGATGTAAAATTCCATAAGAAAAGTGGGTCTGAATAAACATTCGTTACGCTCTATCTACTAAACTAGTCAACCGGCTATCCAGCACCAGGCCTGTGGAGGTGCAAGAAGTCTCGGCGGGAGGGACATCATCCAGCTAAGGCCCACGGGGCCCTAGCCCTGAACTATATGCGGTTGGAACCTCCTGGCATACACGGTGGAGACTATTTAGAATTTCATGGCTCTGAACCTAAATCATTACCCAACACTTCACAACATATTAAATTGCCACAGTCGCCTCAGAAATTCTGAGAATAGCTAAAACCAGCTCCGACAAAGAGGACTAGACAGGGAGAAATAATAGTAAGTTGATGGATGGTTTGAAACGGAAACATTCTCCAGTTATGATACCAGACCAACCTAAGAGCCAAGAGCGAGTTAGTTTATCGCTTGCCTTCTTCCGAGCACGTCGCCTCCCGGAGTGGATGTGAGTCCGACCTTGGTGAGTGTTTCCCCACTTCACGTTTCAGGTCTATTGCCAAGTGTAGTACTTGGCAACCAATACCTTTGTGGAATGTTTTTTTGTGGTATTGTTATTGTTGTTCTTTGATTGACAGTCAATAAAAACTGTTGACAAGGGAGAGCACGCAGAGGTATGGTTTCGCAGTAAACGAACTTGTTCATACACTTCGCTTGGGGGCCGAACCAACTGCGTTACTGGTCACTTCAAGTGCTCAAGAGAACAACAAGTAGAGCTAGAGCAAGCTGAAATTAGCCGCAAGGGCACCGCGAAGAAAGGGTACAAAGCAAGTACTTTAAGCCAAAGCAGCAAAAAAAAGTGGGAGAAGGAACACTCAGACAAAAGTGTAAGAAAAGCAAGGAAATACACAGAAAAGAAGGAAAAATGGTGAGTGGCGCAAACAATGAAGATGTCCTAATGCAGGAAGAAGACAACACCATAGATGAGCGGGCTTGAACCACAACAGAGAAGCAAATCCGAAGTTACGGAGAAGAGTAAGCAAGGAAAGAGGCAGGAATGCGTGAGAATAGTGCGCGAAGCACGAGAAGGAATCGCAAGGACAATAGGCAATACAAAGATTTCCAAGCAAGTTAGAACTGATCTAGAAAAGAACACGGATCAGGTAACCCAGGCGATTGAAAAACTAGTGAGCAAGGCAGTCCACGAGAGTACCACAAGGCAATACCGCAAGGTCTGATGGAAGAGATCATATACACGCCTACGCAAAGGGAATTGAATCAGAACAGGAATGGAAATAGTATACAAAAACTGTAGAAGAAGATGGAGAGCTGGTGAGCGAATTATGCGGGCTTTCAGAAACGGACGTTTGTCAGCTTAAGCGAACAGTGGAATTGAGGTGTCGCAAGCCGTTCTGTAATTACAGGCTGGCATGCGGTCTAATGAATTTGTTGAACAGGATTCTGCACGGTAAGCGGTGTACGAGGCAAAAATCAAAATTGCCGGAGAGGCAATACACGTCAGTGCACCGTTGCCCAACACATGGAGAGAGTCCATGGTCAACATCTCCTTTCCGAGAGGACAAAGGGTTGCTGGTGAGCATCCAATCGGTGAAGTACCTGAGGTCCATGACATGTGCTGACCCGGGAGTGTTCAAGGGAATGAGAGACGGAAATTTCCAAGGATTTCTGAGAAAATTCAGGCGAAGGTATGAAACAGTGATTTCGTGCAATGAAGCACTCGTTGGGATCCTGGCAGATGATCTCTTAGCTGGACGAGCTAAAAATGTGTTCGAGTTACTCCCACGTGCAGATAAGGAGCGCGGGTTTGAGGCAGTAACACAGGAAATGGCCAGGTTGTTAGTACATGATCCCCACAGCAGGCAATACGAGTGCGCTTATCGAGTAGAGAAATTAGAGCATAGACTAGTTCAAGAAGTGTGAGAGTTTTGCGTGGTCTCATAGAGTATAGGTAAACAAAAATGTACACTTTAAGACAAGTCTATGGAATATGCCCAAATTCTTCTCGATAATTTGAGCTGCTGGCCTGAACACTTCCAGTTAGTTGGAGCGCTTCACAGAGTAGAGCCTCGGAAGGCATACGAGGAGGTGAAACAGCTAGCTCTCAGCATAGAGCAGTCAAGAATAATGTTTGGTGCAAACGAAAGACGCTCACTGGCATGGAAAAATAGGTGCGCACAGGCAGCGTGGCAGTGAACAAAGACCACCAGTGATGGTAAGGCGAGAGAGAGAGATCGCCTAGTATAGAAGGGCCAAAACTAGGCGAAAGATCACATAAAGCGAAGAAAGATCCATAGGAGCCGAAGGAATGAACACTTCAGGACATAATCACCAAAGGCAAGAGCCTAGTTACCGCGAGGCATCCCAGAGCAGGAAATGCTATCATTGCGAAAGATTCGGACATATAGCACGAGAATGCTCGAACAAAGCGGTGAAAGAGAACCCTGCAATCCAAAAGAAATCCCTAATGAGGAAATAAACGCAAAGTTAGTCGTCATAATCCAGCGAAATCGCAGTTTGGGACTAAAGATCCCAAGAGTGAGATCCGAAGAAAGCGACCTCATTGGGCAAGAATAGTGATCCCTCTGAAATTTCTTGGAGAACGGCGTAATGCTCTTGTAGATACGGGCTCTCTGATCAACATTATTCCGCTGAAAGTTCTAGCAAGACCACAAGATCGAGGGTTCTAAGAAGAATCATTGCAAGTGAAACCAAAGTCAAAACTAAAACCCATATATGATACCTCAAGCAACAGAATGAACTTCGTAGCAGCAGTGTACGCTCAAGTTGAAACAGAGAAAGGGCAGCCTGAAAGAATCGCATTCCACATTAGCCCAGATAGAGAAGAGGAAACAATGCATTAGGTAAACTAGGAATAAATGTGTTTGTAGACAAGGGAAGCGGAGAGAGCGGCAATGTATCACTGCAGGAAAGAAAGAAAAGCAAAGTGGTAGTGTTGTCAAGCCAATGATGAAATGAATATTCTGCCAAATCACATGACCACGGCACGGACGAAGTACATGTGCGACAAAGAAAGCAAAATCAATGATGACATTCAAAAATTGGTGATCGCGTTTATGGAACGAATGTAGATGTCAGTCGGTCGTCGAGGTCGACGACTCCGCGAGGGGAAGGCATGTTAAAGATGAATTTGTACGGCGGCCTGCAGGCCTAACAATAACAGGAGGACATGTTAGGCCGCGAATGAGCAGGTAGGAGGTAGTTGATGTCGATGATGAAAGATATTATCGCAAAGAAGATATGATACCATGTCAACCTAGGAGCCAAGAATAAGAGAGTAGTGTTAGTTTATCGCTTCTTCCGAGTACGTCGCCCTCCCCGGAGTGGATGTGAGTCCGACCTTGGTGAGTGTTTCCCCACTTCACGTTTCAGGTCTATTGCCAAGTGTATGTACTTGGCTACCAATACTTTTGTGGGTCCTTGTTGTTTTTGTGGTACTGCTAATGTTGTTCTTTGATTGACTGTCAATAAAAACTGTTGACAAGGAAGAGCACGTAGAAGTACGGTTTCGCAGTAAACGAACTTGTTCATACACCTCACTAATTGCCTTATCAAATGCTTAACCAAGAACAATCTCACAGACTACAGGCTACACGAGCTACAAATATATGAAATCCTCCGTCTTTCTAGAAAAGTTCGGTTGCCGGCGAAGGAATTCCAGTTGTAGCCAATATCCACCTCTGCCAACTTCTAACCTGCAAAAGCGTCGATTTTACATACTTTGCGGGTGGGACGTTCCAGTGTCAGCTTCAGTGCTCCTCTTTCTATTAAATGTACGAATCGGGTTATTTGATTATCAGGGTTTGCTTCCGGAATATTCGGCTTTTATCTCTTTCGTCATCTTGTCCTTATCCCATTAATCAGTAGAAGTTGCGCGAGTTGTAGCTGGTAAAAAAGAGTACGGGGCTGAATGAGATCGTTGATTTCGAAGTCAGTGAATGGAATAGCATTAGCTGCGTCCCTGTAGTTGCCTAATGTGAGCAAAGTGACCCCTAATGATCAGAGAGCTTACATGAGAAATACCGACAAGATACTCCAACAGGGAAAACGCGGGTTGTAAGGGTGTTCTTCAGATACATGTTCCAAGTTACACATCAGGGAACTGGAAATGCTTAGATGAAATGAAATTTGAGCGTATCTATACCCATCTCTGACAGGATCAGTCAACAGATCGGCGAATGATAGTAGAGGACCACCCACAGTTGCAGCGCTATTCACAGGGCTCATTGGTAGAACTGACCATTAGAGTTTCTGTTCCAGGGTGAAGAATCAAAAAGGGGATCGCCGGAGCTGAAGGCGGCCACAGAGCAACAACTTCAATCAAAGAAGCTGCTGATGGCTGTAAGATTTGGATTTCAATGTCGAAGTGACAGAAGGCAGGTTAGACATTACAAAAGTAATATGCAGAGCTGCAGGGAGTAATCAGCACGAGTGGATTCGAGAAAGTTAAGGGTATCTGTGGCACGACAGGCTACAAGCAAAAAATTTGGAAGAGTTCGAGTTCTGTATAGGAATGGTTCTGTGCTGCAAGAAAAGCATGAGCTCGATCATAAACTTCGCTGGACCGTTAATGCAGCTATTGCTGCGGAGCCCGTAGAAAACGACCAATACGACGGCAGTGGCAATAACGAGGTTCCCAGCGGGGCTGGAGTCCCGGTGTTCCTACGGTGCTTTACCTCGGACTCACACCCACTTGAGCCCCGGCGAGTACGAACTGGGTGCCCTCCTCCTGTGAAGGCAGGGACGTTGCTTCCCGCAATAGTGGTTATGGCGCCTGTAATTGGCCTGATTACAGACAGAGTTTTATTTGTAGTAATAAGGTATATTTCAGGCAGGACGGCCTTGTAGTCAGCACAGCCACGGCGTACGCCCGTCGGGACCGGGGTCCACGTATCCAGCGACGAGGCCATACGCCCCTCTAAATACTTCCACAGGCCTAGAAACGCCATCCGAAAGAGCGGAGACGGGGCACGGTTGTCAAGAAGAGCGAACGGAACCGAGTCTTGTTGGAACGACGCGGACAACAATGAAGTATAATCTTTTCATTGTATTTTGAAGAATAAATGAGCTGAAATAGATAGTTTATTTAGTGATCAGGGGACGCACGTCGGCTGCACTCTTGAGTGACCGAATGAGCGCAACAGTGGAACGTGATGGAGGGGTGGTTCAGCGACGGAGGAGCATGAGTCACCCAAGAATGAAGCCGACGACCAAGAACGAACAAAGAAGAAGATGGGCGATATAAGTGATACAAGTATATATGAGAGCCGTCATGCCAGAACACTTATTCCGCCCGACTGTTCCAATACCAATACAATACAAAGGTTGGAATCTGAAAACATCCTACCCACTACAAATTTGAAACCCCTTTCGACGATGGCGGAGAAAGGAAGGCTGATCAAGGGATACCCGGGTGCAAAACGCCGTCCGTCAAGGGATGAGGGATCCACCAAGCCAGCAATTTTCGATAGCTAAGGGCTAACAGGCCATTTACGGCCGTCCGTTAGGTACATCCGAGTTCTGCCGCAAGAGTGCGGGTAGTAGCTTAACGGATCCTCTCTGACAACTCCGAGAACGGTGGAATCTCCCGCTTCATAGGGACGTCCAAATCGAGGTTTTTTCGAAGATCGTGTCCTTTTTCGCGAAGCTAGCCAACCAGCAATGGACAGTCGTGATGGTAGTGCTCTCCTCCTCCAATGAATTGTTGATGTTACGGACAGCTGCCGTCGCTCCAGTGCCGCGGAGCCACTCATAGAAGATGATGACCCGAAGCTGCTTCTGTAAAACTGACATCGTAATAGAACTCAGGGAAGAGCCGATACTTTCATATACCTCTTGCCGGAAAGCTTCGAGAACGTTCTGCAAGTATAGCATGTCACATCATGTTCAGGCATAGAAAATCAAGAGCTGTAAGCCATTCGAGAGACACTGACAGGGCTTTTTCTCCAGCCTAAAACATCGGATCGCCCGCCTTAGCCTAAAAGTTTTTTTTTGGAATTCCAGAACTGTACCGTCCCACTCCTCGTATACCCACGCCTCCCCTGGACAGTTGTGAAATTTCTGTAAGGGGAAGGAGTGGAAAGTGGGTATTGGATGCTTAGTGGATGAACTGAAGTGGAAGTATGGCGTGTATTTGAGTTGTTGTAGAATAAATGGCAGGCAAATAAGAAAATAAACAAGTAAATAAGCACAAATAAGTTACAAATTTTTAATTTGATCCCCATCCACCTATTCCGTGCCCTGCTCTCATGTGCCTTGAGATGAAATTATGAACTTTGCAGCAGACACCACCGATTCGGTGCACATCTCATTCATTCACTGGGGGTGTCTCTCCCTCACTTCATCTGGCTTGCCGCTGTTGCCCTCCACACATACATACATATGCCTGAAAAAGGCAAAATACAAGGAAAAGAGCATAATAATAGACATAAAAATAAAGGAAATTAGAGCCAGTACAATTTAAAATTGTTCAAAATAACTCACCTTCCACTTTCGAAGCTTGAAGAGCTGAAAAAAGTGGGAATTCGCAGCCGAATTCCATCGAAATCAGCTGACTCACAGTGCAGCGCTGCCCAACCGCCTCGACAGTCCGCAATGATAAGGACTGTATTAACGGTCCGTCGGACTGCTCAGAATGCGTAGTAAGAATTTTTTTCTTGGTTTCTTTCACTTCTGCGCACGGTGGGCCTAGCCCAGGTTCCTTTTATGTGCTCTGTAAATATTGGCCTATGCCACATTCATCCCAAGCTTGATCCATTCCCTTAATGTAATTTTCCGCGCAGTCCGCAATTTTCACACAGACACATATAGACACGCATACAACTTCTTGTTTATATATAGAGATATAGTTCCGTGGCAGAGGCAGGGATAGCCGAGTGGTTAAGAGTGTAGACTCACGTTCACACTCTGAGCCACGAGTTCAATCCCTGCCGAGGCACAAACCTGCCTTGCAAAAATTGCAAAAATGGGGACGATACCAGCGTCAGGCCCAGGTTGACAGGCCGGCTGATGGAGGAACCCGTCACAACAATCATGACAAGTCGCAATAGAATCAGTGTTAAAGGCACATTCCGCGATAAAATAAGGCTATGACCTCTCAAATGTGTCGGACGATCCGGAAGGCGATTTTTGAGGCTGCGCTACTTTCAAAATGTGAAAAACGGCAAGAACTCCGCTAGAAGCTGACTAATTAGGCCCATGGACACCCCTTGGCTGCTCCATTGTAGAAGAGTTTGACGCCTTCTCCAATCTCGCGGGCCTTCGCACCCTTCCATCGCGTTTCCTGAAGGCATAGGACTTGGATATTCCTTCGTCTCATGAGGTCGGCAACCTCACGAGACTTCCCGGTAAGCGACCCCACGTTCAGGGTCCCAATTCGAACTAGCTTCTTTGGCCGAGGTCGTTCACCCGGAAGTGGCGCGCAGAACCCTCGCCCGAGTTCTGTGGTCAGTATGCGAGGGCTACCGAGGGGTGAACGACCTCGGCCAAAGAAGCTAGTTCGAATTGGGACCCTGAACGTGGGGTCGCTTACCGGGAAGTCTCGTGAGGTTGCCGACCTCATGAGACGAGGAATATCCAAGTCCTATGCCTTCAGGAAACGCGATGGAAGGGTGCGAAGGCCCGCGAGATTGGAGAAGGCGTCAAACTCTTCTACAATGGAGCAGACACCAAACGGAATGGCGTGGCCATAGCGGTGGCAGAATCCCTGAAGGACTGCGTCTCTTCTGTGAACAGAATCAGTGACCGGATCATGGGAGTGAGAATGGACACGAAGGAAGGGTACTGGACCGTACTGACCGTGTACGCACCACAATCCGGTTGCTCCGAGGCGGAAAAGGATGAG